GCAAAAAAAAAAAAGGTCTACTGCCTTCTGCAATAAAAGCTTATGACGATAGCTAAATAAACTAGGCCAATAAGTTAACAGTAACTCTGTGCTCACGTTAAGGCAGTTGATATAATACTCAGGATTTCCGTCCCCATTGTATAAGTCCTAAACCCCAAGTTTTATATGCAATTCTCATATTACTGTAGTTATTAAACCAGCCCAAACATGGAACAATTGGGCCTTGGTGGGGGAAGGGGGTGATACAGTTGACCACAAGTAAAAAGTAACTAAACTCCTTAGGTGAAAACTTGTAAGAAGTTGGACACTGGCGAAAGAAACCCATAACTGGGCATCAAGTAAATTGCTTGGATGAGCTCTTGAGAGCCTCTCATTGACTGAAGATGCTTTGTCACTAGAGAATTAGGAATTTGATATTTATAGGTTTTGTGAAAAAAAGAATAAATTGCTTGTTCAGGATGAAACTACATCAATCTGGTGACTACAAACCTTTGTGTCCCCATTTTGCTTCAGAGTGAGACAGCCTGGACATATCTGATTCAGCAACTGGACAACTTCCTCAATAAAACATGGATTATGCACGGTTGCTGCCAGCTTAATAACACCGAAATGACCTAACAATTACTCCTACCAGTTAGCAAATGGAGAAAAAAGACGTGTTATATGATGCTGCATAATTAATATTTACTTACCATCACAGTCACGTACGCTTTGCGATCCACAGGTTGCACACTGTGGTGCACCATTTGGTAATCCCAACTTGGCATTAGTCACATCACACATTTCAATAATACTCGCACTACTTAACTTTTCCTGAAATAACACAAATTCGATGGTTATTTCTAATGACAGTAAGTTAAATCTACAGCCAGTGTGAAAGATTACCATGTCTGAACTGGTCATGAGGCTGAATTTGACGGCCTTCAGATCAGCTTCAGGCATTTTCACCTCAAGACTTGGCTCCTCCATCCTGAACAATAAACACGACTAGAAAACATTAACATACATACAAGTACCCTGTTAAAGCCCCACATTCCACTTATCTTTGCAAAAAGTATGCATGCATTGGAATAGCATATATCCACTACAAAATTGCAGGTCCAATGACAGCTGTCCATAAAAAAAGATTGGTAACAACTAACAACCTTCAGCCAGTGGCAGAGGAGGCAGGAATTTTAGGAAGCCTGGGCAACTAAAACGGCCTCAGCAACGCAAGATGACGAAAATCAGTGCCACGCAACAGCAGCTGCTCCAGCCCTCGAAGCGTTCACCCTGCATGTGCATGGGAAGGAAAACAAGCTCGATTTGAGTCCTAAAACAAACAAACACAAACCAAATAGAGCACGCTGGCGATTGCATGACGAAAATAGAGTACTAAGTAGTGGGCATTGAATGACTCTCAACTGCCCACCGGCCCAGCCTAGCCAGCAAATGGAGCAGCGCCGCCCGCGATCGGCGATTCCCGGCACCCAGCCTGCCGGCCGCTCACCGCTCATGGCCGAGCCTCCCCGCCTAGACGCGCGCGTGGCCGCGCCGCCGCCTACGAACACGATCACCCTATCCGCCCCAGCAAAATCGTCGCCCGGCGTGGCGCCATCTCAATCTCCCTCCCCTCCCGGACGCCGCCAGCCATGGCTGCTCGCTTTGCTCTCCCTGCCTACGCTTCGTTACTTACGAGTGAACAGGGGTTTACCTGGGTTTTTCCAACAATGCCCGGAGCCGGAGGTGGGGCTGGAGATTCGTTCGCGGCGCCGCCCTCCCGAAGAGGACGGGTGGACCGAGCGGAGAGGGGGTCTCGGCGTCGGCGGCGGCGTGATCAGAGGCGCGGCGGCGCGGGGCGGCGCTCCCGGCCGGTGAGGGGAACGGAGGAAGGAGGAGAGGGGAACGGAAGCGGAGAGAGCGGCGGAGTTGGAGTTGGAGGGCGCGACTATCGCGACACTTTTTTCGGCCCCCGCGGCATATGGGGATCTGTGCAAAAGCCGAAACACATCCGACGGCTGAGGATCGTCGATGCCGCCGTGAGCCGTGATATGCTCCTATTTGGGCGGTGGTGAAAAAGGTAACTACGGTTCACAATCACAGCTAGAGTCACGAACTGGATATGATCACTGGTGTTTTGGGAAACCAAACGGATTCTATTTCTATTTTTTCGATTTGAGGAATTAAAACCTGCGATATTTGGATAGGAATATAAGAATATTCATTTTGGCTGTTCGGACACCGTTTTAGCATATTATTAAAGCGTGTTTGAGAGATGGTATTTGGATAAATCCTTTTTTAGAATGGCACAATCCTAAATTTCTCAAAGAGAGACGTGAGAGTCGCTCATGGGTTCAGTCTCATTGGCAGGGTTCACAATTCCGATGAAAACCAGTCAAATTTCACGAAATTTTGATGTTTCGATACGGCTCGGAATTAAGTTTCGATTGGAATTTCGAAGGTTAAATGGTAGATTTGGTCGAAATTCAATCAAAATTTATCGAAAACCATGATATCGATGAGGTTGGAAATTTAGCGATCAACCGTGTAAACCATGCTCATTGGTCATGGGTGCATGTTCACGTGCATGGGCAATTTTGCAACCGCGGTTAGGATCAAACCCATATGCATCTTCCGTGCTCCTATGGGAATTCCATTGCTAACTCCAGACTAGCCCATGAGCATTTCTTGAATTAGATCAAGAAGCTTCTCGTCTCATCCGCTTTTAACTCAGCTAGAACATGACTGCATTAGCAATTGAGTTGTGAACAATGGCGACCTCCCACTAGCATTCCTTTCAGTAAACTCGATCAGGTTAGCTCCTTCTCGGCTTGCCCCGTCCTATCCTGCCTCCATCTTTCATTCCTAGCAACTTCACCACCTTTTGCACCATCCAAAACTGGTTACCGACACCCTCTGGCCCATATTTTTACTCGTCTCTAGAAACACGAATCTCTCGGTTTTGGGCTAAGTACAAAAAAATTCAAATCAAATTGTAAGTTTTGATAAAATTTATTCAAATTTTATATATTGTATCGATTTATCAACGGACTCTGCGAAATCCAATGATACCTCTCTCAGCATATTTCGATCCGGTATTGAGAGTATGAACCCTGACTTTGGCTCGTATTTTGAGTCGTACCTAACAACTCATACCACCAAAAATGAGCTATCATTAAATTGGGCATTTTCTGCACCCAACCCCCTATTTCGGATGGGTTCGCCAACTTGAGTTGGAAACACTTCCCTACTACACATAAAACGAAACGATGGCTTAGCGCATAATTAATTAATGTATTAGCTATAAAAAAATTTTAAAAAATGATTAATACATATAATTTTTAAAGCAACTGTTATATATATTATTTTTTAAAAAAATTACACTATTTAACAATAGGAAAATATACGCGCAGAAAACGAGAGAGATAAGTTAGGAAAGTAGAGTAAAGAACATCGTTCAGTTTCACAGCGCCAGTGCGCGGCAGATGCTCCTCTATTTTCACCGCTCTGCTTGTACATCTACCCAAACGAAAAAGGGTGTGGCCTCATCTTTTCACTTAACACATATATAAAAGTTTTATTCACAAATTACTTTTCATTTGCAGATACATCGTACGATGGCTATGTTGAATTCAACCGGATTCTCTTTATCGTTTGTTTGTACGACCTGCTACTACTAGAGTAACCATCTTTAAGGGCAGAAGCAGAAGATCCAACATGCACGTGCGAAGAAAAAAATTCCTTTGATATTTATATGTGAATGTTGGTTTACAATCTATCTGTTCCAAAATACAACAACTTTTAACTCTTAAGATTTGTCCTAAAATATATAACAACTTTTCCACCAACATTCTCTTCCCAACCAATCACAACTCTCCACCATTCACTTTTCTCACATACCTTCACTACTCAATCAATCACAACCCTCCACCATTCACTTATACCTACTTTCTTCATAATTGTGTCTAACTTTAAAATTGTTTATATTCTGGGATGGAGGGAGCAGGGGCGGATCCAACGTGGGTGTAGGGGGGACTCGAATCCCTTCAATTTTCTCACTATGAATACACCCACAAGACCCATGGATACCCCTGGAGCACTCCCTTCAATTTTCTCACCATGAATGATAAACTAAAGGTTCCTAGATGGCTAGAGGTTAAAGAAACTATGTAATTGAGCCCTCCAATTTTTTATTCCTAAATCCGCCCCTAGGAGGGAGTACATAAGTTCCTGTGTAAGGAGAGCATGTACTCTAGAGATTAACAAATATCTTAGCCAGTTTCAATGTTTTCCTTACAAAGAGATTAACAAATATTGAAAAATTGAGCATCATAGGCGAAGAGACCTCAAGTTTTAGACCGGAGTAAGTAATGCACAAAGCTCTTGTTTAGATTCAAACTTTTTCTTTAAACTTTTAACTTTTACATCACATCAAAACTTTCCTACAAACATAAACTTCTAACTTTTTCGTTATATCGTTCCAGTTTCAACCAAATTTTTAATTTTAACGTGAACTAAACCCACCCTAATTCTATCAGGTTTTCTAAATTCTAACCATCTGACGCAAGTCTTTTAGATCGTCGGCGAAGACGATGCAAAGGTCGTTGCCGACGAAAAGACTTGTGTCATGACCGTAGTTATTATCACAGCCAAAGCCTATGCAAAGCCAGCTGAGAAAGGAGGGAGTTTAAGGTGGTGGGGCCCAGTAAACAGGCCCATAAATTTATCTCGGCCCACAAGGCCCACCTGTTTCTGTGTTGGTTACTCTCTTTGCATGGATAAGTGCTTTTGCCTTAAAAAAAAGGATAAATGCTTTTGTCTTGTTTATTGTAGTACTGCTTTATTATTATCCAACCAAAATTTTGACTTGTTTTCCGTTCATGTATCATCTGGCGTACGTATTTGTACCATAATTTATGACTAATTTGAAATGACGAAGATTTGTCTTCTAGTTGGAAAATTGGAGTCAAATAAGAGGACTTCTATGCTAAACAATTTTCAAACGCCCAGAAAAGTCAGGATAACAACAATTAAATTTGACTCTATTTGATCTTTTGAACTGCACATTTTATATTACAAATAATTCACACTATCCTTCTTCACACCGCACATCCAGAACAGAAGAAACACGCAGTAACATATATAGAAAAAAATAAACTGCAGTACTTAAGCCCATACCCCATCGGTAAAAAAAAATTAATCCTAACTACGAATCTAAACACATACATGTCTAAGTTCGTAGCTAGAGTTTTTTTTTAGGATAGAGTAGTAGTATGTCATTCAAATATGGGTGATAAATAGTTAAATGTAAGAGTGGTAAATAGTTAAATTTCCCTTAATTTCATTTTCATGCATGGGCGGAGACGGGGTTGCATTGGCAAGGCTTAATCCAGAGCCTCGCGTGGCGTCGTCGACGATCTTGTCCAGCCTCGCCGCCATCGCCGGCGTCATGTGGTTGCGCCAGTCGCCGGCGACACCTTTCCTGAAGTAGGACTCGTTCTTCAGCCCGAGCACGTCGGTGCCGTTCCTGTTCACCTCCAGGCTCCTCAGCTCGTCGAGGCTGCAGAGCTCGACGATGGCGTCGGCCACCCCGGCCGCCTCCTCCGCCGCGGCGAACGGGCACCCCATGAACTCCGCCATCTTCCTCAGGCCGCTCGCCGGCCGCCGCAGCATGTCCTCGTACCGGAGGAACAGCACCTTGCCGGGGCACCGCCGGCTCGCCTCCCAGTACTCGAGGACGTGGCGCCATTGCGGGCCGCCGGTGCAGTTGCCGTCGCAGAAGAGCTCGAACGCCTCGTCGAACGTGAACGCGCCGGCGTCCACCGCCATGGTCGCCGCCATCTTCTTGGAGAAGTGCCAGAAGGAGACCAGCGTGTCCTTGGGGTCCCTGCAGATGTAGATGATCCGGCAGCCGTCGCCGGCGGTGATGCGCTTGGGCAGCAGGGAGTAGGGTAGGTGGGTGGCGAGCACGCGCGGCGGCGGAGGTGGCGACGCCGCGTCCACGGCGATGCCGTCGCTGGTGGCGCCGGTGTGCTCGTCGGGGCGCATCTCGAAGAACTCGACGCAGTCGTGCGGGTTGCGACGGCGGAGCGGGTGGTCGGCGTCGGAGGGCGGGTGCGCCGCGCGGTTCGCGGCGGCGAAGGCGAGCGCCTTGAGCCAGCTGGTGCCGGACTTGGGGAAGCTGGCGAGGAGCACGCCATCCGGCGCCGGCGCGAAGCTGGTGTGGAGGGCCGCGACGGCCGGCAGGAGGGACTCGGGCATCCAGAAGCCGCCGAGCCGACGGAGCGGGAACGGCGGCCACCGCGTCTCCAGCGGGAGCGACGCCGCCGGGTGGCCGACGATGGTCATCTTGTCGTCTACGTCGGCATCGCGCGGCGTTGTTGTCGACCCGCATGGCGCCGCCGTCGGCGTCGGCGTTGCCACCCCGATGGCGGCTTTGGCCTCGGCGGCGGCGACCATCTCCCGTAATACGGTGGCGTGCTTTGACTGAGAGCTGCGCAACGAAGCGTGGAATATTAATTCAAAAAAAAAAAAACGAAGCGTGGAATAACAAACAGAAGCGAGGATTCTTCTGTAAGCAAGAAGAGACGAGAGCAACCAATTTATCAGGGTCTTGGGGTAGGTACTCTCTCCACTCCGTTTCATGTTGTAACATGTTTTAACTTTGGTTAAAGTTAAACAGCTTTAAGTTTGATAAGTTTATAAAAAAAATAGTAATATTTTAGACCCAAGATAAATTTATTATAAAAATATATTTAATTATTAATTTAATAAAACTAATTTGATAATGTAAATACATTTTATTACGGGAAATTTAAAACTAATTACCCAAGATAAACTAATTTTCTATAAACTCAGTGAAATTTAAAACAGTTTGACTTTGACCAAAGTCAATACATTTTATTACGGGAGTATTTTTCTATATTTGTGTTGATTTGGTACTTTAGTCCCAAAATCTCAATAATGTCTATAATTAAGAAGATTGTAATCCTTAGTTTGGTGGAATAGAGGCTTATAGAAACACACACAAGACATGCCCATTCAACAGGTGCAAATAATACAGCCCAGGAATATATGAACGGAGTGTGATACATGGATCGTCTGCAATAATTCATATGGTGTCAACAGCTTCTGGAACATGATGTTCATTTTTTTTTTGAACTGGATGATTTTTTTTTTGAACTGAAACATGATGTTCATTTGAGTACAAAACTTTCTTCTAAAATTCTTCTCTGCGTTGGAATAAATAATTAAATATCGACCTAGGTATGGTGACTGCGTCCGGATTATTTTATTTATGACCAACCATATTTCTCGGTTCAAACCTGTATTAGTTAACAAATTTGCTATATATTTGTCGACAAGTTTTCCTCCAAAAATTTATCAAATGTAATTACAGTACAATCGTAGTGTAATTACACTGCAACTATAATGTAACTTGTATGTAACTTTCAAGAATCTCTCGGTAACATGTTATTTCAGTAAAATAGAGGTCGTGGGAACAAATCCTTTCACATATCTGTGTGCTGTGATTTTTTTTCTTCCTCACCAGAACAAATCTTGTAATAGATCTAACGATTCAAAATTACGTGAAACTTACATACAAGTTACACTGTAGTTACATGCAAGTTACAGTGTAATTACATACAAGTTATAGTGTAATTACACTACGATTTAGAAAATTTGTCAACAAATATATAGGTGGTCCCTTAGTTAAAATAATAATTTTAGAGATTGCATATTATTATAGGCTCAGTCTTTCGTACGTGCTTAATAGTAGGGCATATATATGTGTTCGTAGGGTACATGTTCTTTTCTTAAAAAAATGTAAATTTCACCTTGGGCTATCTTTTATTACCGAAGTTTTATTTTGTATTACTCTTTAACCAAAGTGGGTAATCTTACCTTTACCTTTGTTGCACTTTAAATTACTCTAACTCTCTTTTGAAAAGTATGAACAATTTCGATTATACCGGTTCCTACTCATCAATGAACTCTTACAGTTGTATATAGATCATTTCTTTGACATATGTAAGTTGGATGTAGGTGAGTAAAATAATTAGGTTACGTTAGTGTTAGTTACTTACAGTTAAGAACAAATCTACCGCACACGTAAAATAGAATAACTCATTTAGCACATGAATTAATTAAGTTCTAGCTTTTTTTTTTTGAAAAATAGATTAATATAATTTTTTAAAGTAACCTTCATATAAATTTTTTTTAAAAATATGCAATTCAATAGTTTGAAAAGTGTGCGCGTGAAAAAAATAAGAGGGGAGAGAATTGAGAAACTATGCTGCCGAACACAGCCTTAATGGTGGTCCGAATTCTAAAGTATCAAGCAAGATTAACTAGTCCAAAGCAAAACCATCCGTTAAAGGATGGTCTGAAGAGAAAGATCAGTTAAAAGATGGCTCAAAGTGAAATAAAATTTACTCAAAAGAAAATGTCGGGAATATCTATGCTATTTTAGTTTTATCGAAACCAATATACCATATACGTGTATTTACCATAAAGAAGTTGCGGTCACTGCATCTATTTCCTAGTTTCGTACACGCTAGTGGATTTTCTCCTACAATACTGTGTCGAGCTGTATGTTCAAAATATGATTTGTATTTTATCTACAACCATTGCTTCTCTTTTCGTAAATACATTTTTAATGCAGTTATTGTTTTTGTTTTCCACAATAAAATGCACAGTTGTATACAACACTGTTGATCAATCTCCAAATTAAAGCTATAATCTAGCCAACCATAATCTAATAGTATTATTTATTGTTTTCTTTAATTAATATGGTGAATTATAGAACTCCAAAGTAAATGTGGTGGTTTTATTACCTCTCAATAGACGGGCATATACTAACAGACAAATATGAAGAAATAATTAAATAGGAAAAATTCATTTTATCCCTTAGAGTGTTTTTTCAAGCCATCCACATAGTTATGAAAAAAAATAGATAGCAATGTAAATTCGACAAGATTAATTAATACATGATATATCACTTCAAAAACACATAGATTTGCATTCGATCTATTAAAAATATGTTTGTGAATATGCACACTTTAGCCCCATTTGGTAGGGCTCCAAACTCCAACTCCTAGCTCCAAACTCCTACTCCAGTGGGAGCTAGCTCCTGTTAGAGTTGGAGAGTCGTTGAGAAGTGTTTGGCTAGCTTTTAGCTCTAGGTCTGAAAAAAAAATTGAAAAAAAAGGAAACCCTAGCCGCTGGCCTGCCCAATCCCAGGCGCGCCGCCCGCCGTCGGTTGCGCGTCGTCGTTGCGCGCGCCGTCCACCGCCGACTGGCCACCTCCCGCTCGCCGTCGCTGCACGTCGGCCGCTTCCCGCACCTCGTCTCCGGCTCTCCGCCCATCGCCGTCTAGTCGCCTCCAACGCCTCGTCGCCACGCTCGCTGCCCGCCGCCCTGATGTCGTCGTGTGCCTACCACCGCCGACGCTGCCACCGCCTCCCGCCGCAGCTGGTTGTGACTCGAGAGGATTGGTTGGCAAAGGAGAGAGAACGGGAGGAGAGGTGGGTAGGAGTAATTCAGTGGCATTTTTGCGTAAATACACTAAAAAATTAAAGGGTAGTGGGTCTTTTGAGGTGAAGTGGAGCTGTGGAGTAGAAAAAAACCCAGCTCCACCCCCGTAGTATATTTTTGTGGAGCAGCTCTGCCAACTCCGCTTCCAAAAATGGAGGATCTGGATTGTTTGGCACAATTCCGGCTCCAGGTAAATTAGAGTTAGGAGCTGGAGCTGTGCACCTTTTTTTTTTCAATCTGTATAGGTCAACTTTTTAATAAACTTATATGTATATAAACTGATATACATGTATATATTGATCTTACTTAAAAAAATTTAAAATATTTTCATGACTATTAGATGACATGTGAAAACAGTGAATTATGAATATCCCTTAAGAGATGAAAAACCATTCCAATTAAATGAACCAATAGATTGGGATAGAAAAAAACCGTTGTGCCTATACTGCTCAACTCCTTTTATACAGGTGGTGCAAACGGTGACACGAACAAGCCTCAGTTGGATCGACTCTTTTCCAGAGGCGTATTATTATCTTCAACCTACTCCCTTTGAGTTAGCTGAAATGCTTAAATCATTGCACTTAACCAAGATCACGACGCATTTTGTTCTTGTCGACTTTGACCTCAAGACAGGATGGACATGAATATCGTGGACCAGGTGGTGAGAGAAATGGAAGCAACAAGGTAAGTCCACAGAAATAACACTGAGCATTCTTCTTGGGCAACATCAAACAGTTGAGCCATGGTTCCTGTATTAGATCACACACATGCAAGAGGCATGATCAGAGGAGATCTCATTGGAAGCAGAGACTAATGCTTTAGAACGAAATGGTATTGCCTTGCAAAATAAGTACGCTCGTTGTATTTAAATATATGATACTGTTGATTTTATTTGGTTATTACACTTTTAAAACTTTGATAACAATAGCTCTCAAAATATTTAGTGTAAGACATAAAAAATCATATATGTATGTTTTTTTCTTCATGCTAAGTACTTTTACAATATTATAATTTTGTTAGCTATAAAAAATGTTATATTGTAACAGAAAATAGAAAATAGAGGTCAACATTGTACATTAAAGACCAAATAAAATCATAAGCATCGACGAAATAAAATCATCAGTACCATATATTTAAATACAGAGAGTACGAAGAAAATGACATCTGTTATAGGGAAAGATTACCAATAGTCATTGCAGGTGGCAGCGCGAACTGCATCATCAGCACGTAGCGGTACAGCGGGTCGTGTGGCAAGAATCCGACCCAGTATGCACCATGAACTACTGCAATCCCCACTAGAGGAAGGATCACGTAGCGGATGCAGACGATCGCGATGATCACCGTACGCTTGAGCTCCGACTTCCTTAGCCCTGCATAAACACATTCAGATAAAGGTTCAGAAAACACACAGCTTCATGAATCATGAGTAATTGACATCCTACCTTTTATCAGATTTCCACCAAGGATGAGGGTGACGCAAGGAATCGTGCCATTTCTGCAAGACAAGCAAAAGAAGGGCAACACTGAAAAATAGACAGAAATATACTCTATGAAGAAGAACACTGTAAATACTAACTTACCCCATCAGTTGGATGGAGTCCTGGATGACTCTGAGAGGGGCGCCATCACCGATGACAAGAGATTTCAACCATGGAACTAGCCCAAAAACAAATCCAAGTATCTGAAGCAAGAATAACCAAATTTAGTCCAAGACTGGGTTGATGAGATGAAATATTGTGGCTGGTTTTGTCAGGAACACACAGCAGATAGAGTTGGTGGTGCCATCAGCTCCTCGACAACGTGGTGGATGGTGTCCTTCAGGTTTGTTGTTGTCCACGAGCATTTCTTAGCAACCTTGCTCTCGCAAGACAGCAATGGAGCTTCCTGAATTTCAGACAAGTTAATAGTACTAAGTTTTCTCTGAAGATTAATTTTTCCGAGGAACAAACCACTCAACTTACCATTTGGTTCTCTTCGTTGTGTTGAGCCAGTTTAGCTGACACCGGAAGAGTTGCCTCCTCATCGGCGTAAGCAGCTTCACCATTTGCTTTGAATTTCTTAGAATGATGTTCTTCATCGCTGTCGTCAAGGCACTGAGTGCTGTTAGGCTGGTGATACATTTGATCTCTCTTCTTCTTCATAAGACTGTACGTATGCGTCCATATGTACAAGCCACCAAGCTGCAGTGCAGATACAGTGTGTGTCAGTTCTTTTGTTCAGCTGATCATTCAGTGAATGATATATTTTTGTTCCTTACAGCCATGGACAATGATGAATAGGAGAGCCCAAGAGATCGGCAGCGGCTGCTGTCTTTTCCGAACGGGTTGCCATCTTCGTCACAGACTGCTGGGACAACAATCAGGAGCAAGTTGCCAAGATTTCCTGCATTTTTTGTCAGTTGATGACACTGCTAACATTAGGATTATTCAGCAAAAATATGAGGGTAAAAACATGCAATCCACCTAGGAAACTAACCTGCTGAGCAGAAGGCAATGATCATTCCTCTGAAATGTTGTGGTGGTTTCAAGATTCTACATGCTATCCAGCCTAGAGTGCCACCAGCCATGAATGTGATCCCTATGTTAATTGGCATAAACCACCTACATGATAGAATTCTTTTGTTAGTGCTGTGGAGTTACCCAGCAAACAAAATTTGGATATTGTATATATGCTCTGCCCAGATATTTAAACAGTGCTCTGAATGAGAAAACTATATATGTAAAGCTTGTTTTCTATTTCAGAAAGAGAGTTTCTCACTTCTGCAAGAATCCTTATAAATTTCAGAAAGAGCTTACGGTTCAAAAAATTCAGAAAGTCTGGCTGAGCTATACATATTGTGTTGATTTTGGCAGTTATTAGAATGTGGAGATGGAATTTGGGCAGATTTTGTAGTAACTGCACTTGCATTGTTGCATATCTATAAACTGAAACTCACCAAGAAATGACGTCAGAAAACGTGACCGTCCTCGCCAGGCTAGCAAACATGAGAGATGGTGTGAAGACGGTGAAAACAACCTGTCAGAAATCTCAACAAGATCAGCCAGAGACAATTAATACAATTTTTTCGCAGTGAATGGCTATGTGCTCACCTTGTTCATATCGCTTAGAGCACTTGAAGTTAGAATGTTGCTGTAACCAGAAGCGAGAAAAGCTCCAACAACACCTATGAGTAGCACCTGGACGACTGGCATTGAAGCCACCAGAAGCAATGCCAAGAAACCCATCTCTTTTTTAATGCTGGATTAAACTCAATTTCTTCTGGAGCCCTACTTGATAATCCCTTGATTTGCTTTCTGATGCCTTCAGATTATCTGTGAGGATATGATTCGATTGATCGAGTTCTTACAGGCTCGGGCCCGGCCCCCTGCTAAGATAATAATCGACCAACGAATTCAAGCGTTTAGATGACAGAGTCACACACGCATTAGCTAACAGTAAACTGTACTTGAGGAATGCATGCAGTTGGATACTTTTATTCATGGAAAAAAAATCCTACTACTTTTTGGCATGTGACCATGGCAACTACACATTATTGTTTCAACTGTTTTTCGTCAACACCAGTTGTGAAGCACGAGCATAGCTAGTTCAGTAGTAATGAGCAAGTCAATGCTGCCGGGCACAAGATCTCCTTAAGCAAAACTAGAAGATGGAGCTTGACTGCTTGAATAACAAAGACAATCCTTAACTTTTGCCCACTGATGGCGCATATATCGAACTAAAAACTAAACTGTAGTAGTAGTTTCTTTAATTTGTACTTCTTTCATGAGTACGTGCGTAGCCTCTAATAAAGGCTGCCGAAGAATTCAATATGTATACAGCAAAAAAATGTTTAACAGGAACTTTCTTAAGAGTACTTTGGCAGTGTTGTTACTCCAAATTTTTTTTTACGTATACGGACGCACATTTAAAATATTAAACGTAGACTAATAACAAAACAAATTACAGATTTTGCCTGTAAACTGTGAGACGAATTTATTAAGCCTAATTAATCTGTCATTAGCAAATGTTTCTGGTAGCATCACATTGTCAAATCATAGCGTAATTAGGCTCAAAAGATTCGTCTCGCAATTTACATGCAAACTATGTAATTGGTTTTTTTCGTCCATATTTAATGCTCCATGCATGTGTCCAAACATTTGATGTGACGGAATTTTCGTAAGTTTGAAGGGAACTAAACACAGCATTTGTCAAATTTGCAGATTTATAAGAACAATTAATGTTAATAGGCAGCGTTGTTGTAACCGTAAGCTTTGACCGGCTAATTCCTTCAACCGGCCAGGCAAAAAAAAATTTCAAAAATTGTTTTTTTTAACAAAATGGAAGGAAACAAAGCATGGGAAAGAAGGTTACTGTCGCAAGACAACTTTGAATTAATTATACGAGCAAATTACCCATGCCATTCCATTCCATGGGATAAAAAAACGAAACCGTTTTGCCGTATATTATTGGTAGCAAGAGTTTTGTTTTTTTCCTTCCTTTTGTTTTTGCCTGCTGCTGTAGCAGTGTCAGGATCTAAGATCAGGTGGGAAATGAAGAAAGAAGATGAATCTGACGGGTGGGCATCACGTGCAGATAAGAAAAAAGATGGAAAAAGGAAGGAGGTTGATGAAAAACGTGACGGCGGTGGCATAATTTTAGTTCCATAAATTTTTTATGGCATGACTACGAATAAATGAGTTGTAGTGGTATTTATCTGAATCAACATATTTTTATAGTGTTAAGTTTAGGCTTACTATCAACAGTAAGATGTTTTTAGGGTTTGGGCAGGGGTGACTCCCGGGCAACTGGGGGGCGGCGGCTGTCTCCCATCTAGTGAGATGGGTCTGGATGGAGTTCGTCTCCGATCTGTTGTTGCTGAGGGCAGGATTTCCTCCTGCGTTCTGTGTTGGTCTTGGAAGGATCGATATCGTTCAGGCAATGATGGTAGATTACCATCGGCAGATGAAGGTTTCCTGGTGGAGTCAAGGTAACACACAATTGGTAAAGGAGATGTCTGCTTTAGGTATACGAGATAATCTGGATGCAATCCGTATTCGGATGGATTGGGGACGAAGTATAATCCTATCCAGACTATGAGAACAAAGATGAAGTCAGATCCGATCTTGGTCGATATCTACTATAAAGAGGAGGGGGGGGGGGTCTCTGGAGGATTATCCAACATAGTTCCGTTCCTTGGTCCTCATATTCCTCAGGTTCCAATCTAGAGTTCCGTCGACACTTGATCGCAAGGTGTTTCATGGCTGCCAACGCCAGTGGGGGTGATAAAGGGATCATCGGTGAGATGATTGCCCACCCGAAGCTGACGGATGGCGGGATGATCAAGCTAGCGATTCAGGAGAAGGGGGTGATGGACACAGTGCCGGATGCCAATCTGAAGGCGATGTCCGGGAGCCAGAAGAAGGATGATAAAGTGGTGATGACTGAGGATATGGGCACTAGCTCTTCCCAAGGCCCTGCGGCCTTTACAGAAGGGGAGATTGATGAGGAAGAAGAGGATATTATTGAAGTAAGCCTTGAGGAGGAGGAGGTGCAAATTGCAGGCCAATGGACTATCCTAGCAAGATTCTACTCGATGAGATTGCCCAACCATCAAGCCCTCTTCGATGATATGTGTCGTGCTTGGCAGCTGCGTGCAGATATGAGCTACAAATCCCTGCGAGAGAATATGTTCATCATAACTTTCAGCTCTGAGGGTGATTATAAGTTTGTTCTTCAGGGAGGACCATGGATCCATCATGGTGATGCTCTCCTAGTGGCTGAATTTGATGGTATTACTTGCCCATCGAAAGTGCCCCTAGAATCAGTTCCTATCTGGGTCAGGATTTATGACCTTCCATTGGCTCTAATGACGAAACAGAGAGGAGAATTGTATGGTAGTAGACTAGGTAAAGTTTGTGAAGTGGATGTTGGTGATGATGGCAGAAACATGCACGATTTCTTTCATATCCGGGTGGATCTCCCTGTTAAACGTCCGCTAAAAGAGAAGATTGCAATCATGATCCTGGTGCAAGGCAAAGAGGAGATTAGGAAGTTTGATCTCCGTTATGAACTAGTCCCACACTTCTGTTTCATATGTGGTTATTTGGGGCATTCTGATAAGGACTATGGGAGAAGAGTTGCTAATGAAGACCAGCCTTTCAGGTTTTCAGCAGAATTGCGTTGCTCTCCGATGAAACCTTTCGAGCGGAAAGTTAGCAAAGTGAAAGCGTTCTCCTCCTCAGGTGTTGCTCGGAACCTTGTCTTCAGAGGTGCTGGCAGTGCAAGTTCATCAACTTCTCGGCAGAAACAAGGTGAGCAGTGGAATGAAGCAGTTCCGCCTAGGGTGGATGCTCGTGACAACTTTGAGGCTGAGGAGATGGAGGGAGACGGCAAGATAGATGAACAATTAGCTCAGCAGGCACAACACATGCAAATGGAAGGAGAAGAAAACCGTATTGTGCAGGGGTCGGCAAAGGAAGCAACTCCAAACTCTGAGATGATCCTGGCTATTGCTAATCTGCACCAGCAAGCTTCTTTTGGGGAAGTCTCATCGGATGAGTTTAGTGCTGGGAATCGGAAAAGAGTACAGGAACAAACTGGTGGCGTGAAGCCGGGAATAGTCAAGCAAGCTTTGTTAGAGTACCAACAAGCAGTGGCTGATGATACTACAGGGCAGATGGACTCAAGGAAGCTAACCAGGGCACTAAAGAGGTCTAGGAGGGCGGATGGAGAGCAGGAGGTGGACAATTTGGAGGCAACCAGCCAGGGAGCCGCTGGTAAACTGACGGGATCTGCTTTAGGATCCCGTCAGGAGCAATGAGTTGTCTAGCTTGGAACTGTCGTGGTATCGGGAACGCTACGACAGTTCGTGATCTCTGTGCCTTGGTGAAGGAGGCAGGTTCCCATATCGTTTTCCTTAGTGAGACTAGACAGAAAGTGGAAAGATTAAGTTGGCTCCGAAATAGACTAGGCCTAAAAGGTTTTGTGGGGGTTAATAGTGTGGGTATGAGTGGTGGTCTTGCTTTGTTTTGGCACGAGTCTGTTTATATGGATATTAAATCTCTAAATGACAGATATATTGATGCATACGTGCGTTTGTCTCCGGATGATCCTTTGTGGCATGCTACCTTTGTTTATGGTGAACCGAGAGTTGAAAATAGGCAGTATATGTGGTCTGCGATCAAAGATTTAAAGCAAACTTCCTCTCTTCCCTGGTTGGTTATAGGTGACTTCAATGAAACATTATGGCAGTTTGAGCACTTTTCTGAGAAACGCAGAAGTGAATCCCAAATGCACGCTTTTAGGGATATCCTAAGCACTTGTGAATTATTCGATCTAGGCTTTTCAGGGGTTCCTTATACCTATGACAACAGAAGGGAGGGTAGAAACAATGTGAAAGTGCGTTTGGATCGGGTACTAGCAGATAACAGTTGGCGAGATATTTTTAGCAATTCACAGGTTGTCCATATGACCTCTCCATGCTCGGATCATTGTCCCATTCTTGTCAGGTTTACCAGGGATACTTCTCATGCGAATCGCAAGAAGTGTCTGCATTATGAAATATGTTGGGAACGTGAACCTGCATCAACAGAAGTGATTGGTGATTCATGGCTAGAAGTTGGGGAGAAACAACATTTGGGTGATATCAATTGTGCTTTGAGGAAGGTAATGTCGGCCTTGCAAACTTGGAGTAGAACAAAATTCATAAATGTTGGTAGATGTCTAGAGAAGGCCAGAAAGAAGCTTGCTGAATTAGTAGAAAGGGATGCAGACCGCAGAGAAATTCGCATTGCGTCAGACCATATGAATGAATTGCTGTATAGAGAGGAGATGCTTTGGTTACAACGCTCGCGAATTAGCTGGCTGAAAGAGGGTGATCGGAATACTCGCTTTTTTCATAACAGAGCAAGATGGAGAGCGAAGAAAAATAAAATCTCCAAGTTAAGAGGCCCGGATGGCACTGTTTACAGTGCGACAAAAGACCTTGAGAATCTTGCCACGGATTATTTCAATGATATGTTCACAGCAGACCCTACTGTTGATCATTCTAGAGTCACAAGGCTGTTCCAGCAGAAAGTAACTGCCGAAATGAATGATTCCCTATGCAGGAATTTCTCTGATGAAGAAATCGCAGATGCTTTGTTTCAGATTGGTCCACTTAAGGCGCATGGGCCAGATGGTTTTCCGGCTCGCTTCTACCAACGAAATTGGGGCCTGATCAAGAGTGATGTGGTTAGGGTTGTCAAGGAATTCTTCCACACTGGGATCATGCCAGATGGTATCAATGAGACTGCAATTGTGCTTATTCCGAAGGTTAATCAACCAATGGAGTTGAAAGAGTTCAGGCCTATAAACCTATGTAACGTGATTTACAAGATTGTCTCCAAA